CAAAAATAATTAGCCAGATTGATATGTGTGCATCGATCCCAATAAAAAATCCGCAATTAGTGATGATCATTAGTGACTATATAATTTTAATAGGCCGTTGCACACCCTAGTAAGCCATACATTTCGTTTCATTACGTTCCTGGTATACAAAAATTTATTTACTACGACAACTAACTTCCGACCTCTAAGTAAAAAGTTTTAAGCATTGAAATACCACTAGCTATATTTTTTGGTACCCGATCATATTATGCTCAACATAATTTCTCACAACACGATGTATGTGTCGTGAGGGTGTGAAACGTCATATGATCTACAAACATAGTGAAGATCATATATTAAATTTTATTTTCGTATAAAAGTTCAAACTGAAATAACTCCTGAACTACTTATGAGACGCATGCAAAATTATATTTATTAGATTCCTTTTAACATTCTCTTTAAAGTAATAAAGCCCTTTTTTATTTTTAATATAAGTTGAAGCGAAAACTGATTACTAAAACATGATTAATTTTAGGACAATAAAAAAAAGAGCTCTATTACTTTAAAGAGAATATTAAGAGGAATCGCATATCTTAAGTAGTTTAAAAGTTATTTCAGTTTAAATTTTACACCGATATGTTTTTACTATCTATAGTAAAAATTATTATATGATATTCACTATTTTTGTATTTTTCACACCCTAATGTGTCGTGCTGAAGTTGGCACCCGACTAAAGTTGAAATTATGAAATTAACCTCTGAAATTAGATCATCCTGCAATAGCTAGCGGTTTTAGGCAGGTGCCAAAGTAATTATTAGGTTTGGAATCGGTTCTATTTTCATATGTTAAAACTAATTAAAACCGGTTTGGCATATGAAAATAAGACTGGTTCTAAACTCTAATGAAATATGAGGTTGTCATATGCACTATAATCTTACCTCCTACTACAATTTGATAAATGAAAACCATTAATTATACTAAAAAAAGGATTTTTTAAAAAACAGCATAGCGAAAGTCAAAAGTTGAACTGTATACATTCATGTGATCGTACTAGTAAAATATGTTTTTTTAAAAAAAAAAATTTAAAAAATTCAACATTTAGCAAAAAAAATTAATATTTTGATTAATCGCTCCTATAAAACTTTAGTTTACTTATTAAAAGATTATACAGTAATACATTTGTTCTTAGATAATGAAAATAAATTTATGAATACATAAACATATCTCAAAGGAAGGCAATAAGAAATAAAAAATAAGAAATAAGAAATAATAATAATAATGATAATAAAGACCATCAATAAATTTTTACAACCAACTAAGGACGGCTTTTAAAATTAAATTGATCAATTTTCCAAAGACGATTTGCAACATCATTATCTGTAGGTACTAATTCTTTTGTCACACCTATAACATCTCCATAACAGAAATCATCAGTAGGGTTTGTTATGTTTTCTGGATTAACGACTCCATTAAAAGCATAAAATTTGTATTTATAGTTGGTTTGAATTGGTACCATATTACAAAAATAAAAATATCCCTGTCCATCAAGTAAATCAATATAAAGGGTTTTTGTAATAGTATAGCCAATACCACTTGCAGGATAAAATACTGCTTGTAAACATCTTGTTCCGCTAGGAACTTGGAGAGCTAGTTGGACATCATATGAATTACAGTAATTAAAAAGAGTTACATCAATTTTCCAAAGAACATCTGTAAGATCTTTATCAGTAGGGATCATATCTTTAACAATAGATACACAACTTCCGCTACAGACAGGACTATTGGGAGTATAATCAGAATAAGCAATAAATTTATATGAAAGGTTTGTTTGTGCAGGTAAAGCGTCACTGAAATGATAATATCCCTCTGGATCAACCGAATCAATACAAAATGGATTTCCAGTAATATAACCAAGACCATATGCAGGAACATATTCTGCAAAAAGGCATTTTGTTCCGTTAGGAACTTGTACAGCTAATTGGGTACCATCTACATTAGAAATATAAAGAAATATAAAAGGTGACAATAAAATAGCTAGCCAATAATTTCTGTTATATTTGCTGCAATTGATCGAATTCATCATGTTAAAGTTTTAAAAGATGTATTAATAACGGTAGTTTTTTAATAATAATCTAGTATCAACTTAATATTATCAACTTAATATTTAAAATTGTTAAAATTGTTGTATTTTTCTTTTGTCTTAACTACAAGTTTATATAGTCAGTCCTGATCCCTGTAGGACCGATTTAAGGAACTCTTATAGTATGAAGGACTCTCTTAATAATATAGAATTTATTTTTTCTCATTAACGTAGAGTTTACCTCTCAATTTTAATATTTTGTAACGTAGAATCATTCTTTTAAGCTCACTGTCTAACTGTTCATCTGAAAATTTACTTATATTTTATTTAGCATCACTCATATATACTGTAGTACTGTAGTATATCTTATTATTAAACAATTTTTAAAAATTGCAAGTATTGACACTGTAAATAATCTTAACTCTTTTCAGTGGCTATGCTTGTTCATCTTTCCTTTACAATAACATTTCCCCAAGAACTGAAAGTTATAGCATGAACAATTACATCAACTCACGAAGCACTTTAGATATCGATCATCAGATATGTAAAACTTCGCACGTGAAATCACTTGCGTTTTAATGTAAGGTTTTTATTACTTTACGGTGCTTTTCAAATTACTCTAGAAAAAATGCCAATCTATGATTGGTCAAAAAATTATTAGCAAATCATAGATTGACATTTTTTCCAGATTCCTGATTTCCGGTGTGATACATGAAATTTGTTGATCACAGTAATTTGAAAAGCACTGTAAACCTTGCATATTAATGAATCATTAAAAATATTTTTTTTATTATTACATTAAGCAATTTTATTAAGTAAAATAATAATTTTTGCACGTCAATTTTGTTGATAAATAAATCGAAATATCTTTGATCAGATGTTGCAGATATAATCGTAATGGAATCTAGAATCTATTTTCATTTTAAAATCGATTCTAATTTATTTTTCCAACGATCTGGTCTGCTGGAAAAAGGATTAACCTCCGTAGATCATAATGCCATATAAAATTAATTGTATAGATTCGAATAAATTTAGATACTACTGATTGAAAATATGGTTGATAACTATTATAGCGGTTTGCAAAAAAAGTGTGACCCCACGATTTTCGTGAAAACGATAGCGGGGATTTCGGAGGTCCTAGATTTTCTACCAACCATATATTCGTTCAGTGATATCTATATATATCAATATTTGGAAATCTGTATAATTTCCTTAGAACCGTGATGTTAAACATCGATAGAATTCCACTGTCGCTATCACGAAAATCGTGGAGCCATATCCTTTTGCAAACGACAATAAGGGTAACGTAAACCAATTAATCTTCAAATATTTTAATACTGTAATAAAGGACAAACTCATAGTATAATGGTTCTCACGAATAATGGATTGTTATGATTTAATTATTAAAATTTTGGTAATGTTGGAATTTTTTACTTTTTAACACAAAGATATGTAAGATTTGTTCAATTTAGAATATTAATTTCTAAAATTGAATCAATTTTCATTCCTTACATTAATGTTAGACATGTGATTTTGATGGATAAACAACTTTTATGAAGATGTTTAGTGTGCATACAAATATTAACAATATTGCTGCAGATCAGTATGGTGATATTCTACAGACTGATCAAATCATCTATACCATACGGATATTTGTATTGTCCGAACCATCCTACAAATGGACGACAAAGCAGACAAATGGATAATGTCAAAATACTATAGATTAGTGATGCCGACAATACTTAAGAAAACTCGATAAAATATAACCTATCCACGTGATAAGTTAATATTGTTTATACAATACAATATTTTCGAAGCTTAGACTAAACAGCGAAACCTATTAATCGAGTATTTAAAGTTTATTGTATTGTTTTTTAAAGATAATTATTAGTTACGCAAAGATGATTTTCGTTTAGCTTTATGCGGCATCCAAAATGTAATTTTTTTTACAAAAACAATTTACTTTATCATAAACAAAATAATGACATTTGATTCAAAATAATACCAATAATAATTATTATTATATAATCAAAATATAAAGACATGCAAAAATTACTCGAGTCTAATTCAGAACATTTCAGAATGGTTCCCTTTATGAAACCTGATTGGTTGAATCTACAAATTTCAGCATCATCCATCTTCACGTAAACGCGAATATACAAAATTGGCAACAGATTTAATATGAACGTTTAAATTTGTCAACAATATGAAAGCGTTATTTAACCGTGTTAATGATGCTGAGATTGCACTAGGCCATCAATAATATATAAAATGACTAATACTCAGTGGTCGAAAAAAGATCCGGAAAAATAATATGCAACAAATTTTTTCCGTATTTAAGAATAATGACTAACGCTAAATTATTCTTTCATTTAAACAAATGCTATAAATAACAAGATTATCTAAATATTATCACACGGTGGAAAATCATTCGCAGAGTGAAAACTTATTTCCGGATCTTTTTTTTCACTGCACTAACAAATCAATAATGAATAAATTAACAAATTAAGAATAATGTGCAATATATGTTTATCTTTTCTAAATATAATATTTAGTGTTAGTGTTAGACCTAAGGTTTACAAGTTTTAGCGTGAACATTATGTACAAATAATTTTTAAAGTTGCATGCAAGTAGGTCTACGATAAGCCCAGTATATCTAGGGATGTCTTTTTTAGTTTCATATAAAATTTATATTATTTCGGGAAGAAATGCAGGTTTTGTGGTCTATTTGTTCCGCAATTTAGGTCGATCCGGAATTGGCACGTGTCATCGTGAAATGAAGTAGGATATCATTCCATAAATAGAATTAAGCAGGGAACACCTATTTCCACCATGAAAATTTGCTATTTCCACCATGCTTTTACATGAGTTTCAGCTACATAAGCATGATTTCATGGTGTTCCCTAAAATGTATGTTATTTTCAATTGAAAAAAATAACATTCGTCAATTAATAATTGACATACATTGAGAAATGACGCATCAATTTCCACAATTTGACATAATTTATCATGAAAATATGCTTGTCATGTTTATCTAACTGAAAGTCATATGGAAAGTATGGCAGCATTGGAAATAGACGTTCCCTAAATTAAATTATACATATCTGTCTTCACTTGCTCACACACATGGTGCTAGATAATCTGTTCACTCAATTAGGATTAATGGATACACTTCTGCACCTAACCAGATTTTTTCCAACATATCTCTGCTTCAAAACCAAAAAGTCACTGGCAAAGTTGTCATAATGCTGGTCGATTTTAATCAGGATTAATTCTTTAGAAAAATGGTTCAATCTGAACTTATTTTAACTTGAATAAATATAACCCAGCAATTGCTATGCATTTGGAAATGGTTAACAAATTCTTTCGCTCTCATCTTTGATGATCATTGATTATCATTTAATCAACCCAATAAAAATCCTACAAAAAAAAATGAAAATGCTAAAGATCTCGTGAATAGATAAGCAAATTTGCATCGGTTCACCGATATTTATGTCTAAAAATCATGGGTTGACTATACTTTTTTATGGCGTTTTAATCGCACTTATGCGTACATTGATATTTTTTGTTTTTGCTTTTAAATAATTTGATCAGGAGTTTTAAGATTTACGTGCCTGCAATAGAATAGTAGTGCGAGGATTAAATCGTGCCAGATATAGAATAAAGCGTTACATGTACCCTGTGAAGGTACTACGTGTGAAGTCCCGATATGCATTCACACCTTTTCTTCGCCATATGCTTTTGTCCAATAAGTGGCAAGATTTTGCGGACGCACACCATTAATTCGTATTATAACCATACCCTCCGTGATATTTGCATATCACTCCGTTCCTGGTATACACTTAGTGAAATTTTCAATATCACTCTGTTCCTGGTAATCCCCACCTATATCGCTCTCTTAATAGATTTGGGGGTTTAAATACAAGGTTCGAACATATGTCTGTGTTTCATATACTAGTATACGAATAGAAATCGTCTTTTACATGCTATTTATTATTAATATAACTATATATAATTTATTATTAATAGTCGCCTCTTGATATAACACACAATTTCTGTTCACAATAAGATGATCATATTGAGGTTAGACTGTATTATCAACCTGAAAATTTAAGATAGATTGACTAGATTCATAAGTTATTCTCTATTTATTATTCTATTCCCCAGACAATGAGAAATGCTCTTAACAAATTATGAGATAAATATATATTTACATGAAATCTAAGTCATTCATTTCTATCATTTCATTCATTTCAATCAATTATTACTTCTCCACCAGCCAAGGAAACAAAAAATGACGTTCCAAAAATATAAAATAATGAACATAGACACCAAATAATGCTCCAATTATTATCAGTAATTTCTAATATCCAACCTGTTAATGCTACACCAAAAAAAGCCGGGACCACCGCACAAGTATTTCCTAAGCCATATATTAAGCCCGCATATTTTGGTGCAATATCAAACTACAGTGGCCTACCATATAAGTGTGGACACTTTTTGGATCGTGATTGCTCAAGAACGGGTAAGTATGCGCAGCACGG